TCGCCGATAAAGCGCTAGGATCGACGCGTCACCGCGAGAGATTCGGCTCTGAGCGAGAGTTGCGCTGCTGCTGTTTAGGCAGCGATGAAAACCAAAACCAAGATCGGCATGGGCATGAAACCGAAGAAGACGATGAGGAAAAACAAAACGAAAAAGATAGCGAAAAAACGGATACTACCAACAGCGAAACGAGGCGATGCGTTACCGTTTCATCCAATGTTGGGTGCGCTCGGATCCTTGATTGGAGGAGCCGCCAGTGTTGCGAAAGCGGTAAACGATAGCAAAGCCGCGCGACGTCAGCTCGAGGAGCTGCAACGTCACGATCGCGCGATGGAACAGGGTCGCGGACTATATCTCGCTCCGCACAAATATGGACGCGGACAGGGCATAGCAGTGAAAAAAAAAAACGCCAAAGAGACGATAAAAATGCCCTCGGGGGCAACTACCAACGTGCAATTGAATGTTCTCGCGTGACGTATACGTGTACCGTATTTTAGAGGTGTTTTCATGCGTAACGCGTTACCGACGAGCGGCGTGCGTCGAAACGAAAGCGGTATCGTGAATCTGGACGATGCGACGGGACCCGGTACTCACTGGGTAGCGTACGCGAATAGAAACAACCGCGTCGTGCACTTCGACAGCTTTGGTAATCTTCGACCGTCCAAGGAATTGGTGCGATATTTCGGGAACGGTGCTACGACGATAGAGTACAATCGTACGTCCTATCAGACGTATGATCAGAGCTTCTGCGGACAGATGTGCCTGTGGTTTCAACGAACGGTCGACGCTCGTGAATTTAAAAAGCTCGACGAGGTGCCGTGAAATCTCAGTATTGGTTGAACGCTTTTCTCTTCATGTCACTGACACTTACACTGAGCGTGAAGAGCAGCCTCCTCGCGGCGAACTACTTCCCCGCCATAGATTTGAGTGACGGTGATTACGAGCTCGGTCTGACGATTTTTGAGACTTATCACACGATACCGAACAAAAAAAAAACTTTAAATTTTATTTCGACAAAGACGACGCAGAAATTACAATTCTCGAAGGTTCGTACGAAGTACGAGACATAAACGAATTTTTGAAACGTGCGATTTTGCGTTCACACCGCGACGCGCTTGAAACCGTTGACATAGTGCTTTTGCATGGTGACAATAGCAACAATAGCAACTATAACATCGATGATGACGATGGCGAGGGTGTGAAATATCCGATAACAATCCGCGCAAACTACAACACGATGAGATGTGAGATTAGATGCGCCTACAGAATAAACTTTGTCAAGCTCAACAGCATTGGATCGCTGCTGAAATTCTCGTCGAAGCGTATACTGCAACCGCGAAAATGGCACGAATCGGACGTGTCGATCAACATAATGAACGTAAATGTTATCAGCGTAGAGTGTATCGTGACCGCGGGTGCGTACAGCAATGGCAAAGGTGCACACACGATACACGAATTTTCGCCGAGCGTGCCACCGGGATATAAGATATCGGAAAGGCCCGCGCAGATCATTTACTTGCCGATCACCGCACGGAGCATTACGGATCTAACGATACGTGTCGTCGACCAGAACAGACGATTGCTCAATTTTCGAGGAGAAGCGATCACCGTTAGATTACACGTACGACGGCGACAGTGATAACGCGAGCGTGAGATGCTTATATTGAACGGAACGGAGCGCACGCAGAGAGATAACGCATTCTTTACAAGGTCGGTGACGTCACAGCTCGATAACACTCGCTCATCCAGCTGCATCGGGAAGAAGACGCTCAGCTCGTCGAACGTTACATTTTTACAATCTTTGGGATTCGCAGTGCGCAACATTTGAGATGACTGATATTCTAAACATTAAAGATGAGCCGATCTTCGACGATCGCATCGTCAAGATTGAGACTCACACGTACAACCCGTTCGCCAACACAACGTTCGGGTACAGCGATGAAATAAGAATACCAATACAGCAACAGGGTTTGTACACGTTGCCGTGCGAAAGTTTTCTTTACGTCGAAGGAAGATTGACGGTGAAAAAGAAAAACGATCAGACGCCTACTACGCTTGTAAATAATTGCGTGGCGTTTAAGTTTGATGAAATTCGATATGAACTCAACGGCGTGGAGATTGATCGCAGCAGAAACGTAGGCATAACTAACACGCTCAAGAATTACGTGTCTCTGACGTATGATAAAGCTTTGATTGCGCTCAACGCTGGATGGAACACTAGATCCGACACGGAGGAAGGATACTTAAATTTTTGCGTACCGCTCAGCATGCTGTTGAGCTTTTGCGAAGATTACAAACGCTTGATCGTCAACGCCCGCCACGATTTGATTTTGAAACGAGCGCGCAACGATAACAATTGCTTGGTGGGAAATCCGTGACGGAGTCTGAAATTGAATTATTTAAAGTACAGTGGCGGATGCCTCACGTTGCGTTAAACGAGATCAATAAATTATCAATGCTGCGAACATTGGAAAGCGGTCGTTATCTGAGCATGAGTTTTCGCTCGTGGGTTCTGTACGAGTATCCTCTGCTACAGAAAACGACAAAGCATTCGTGGGCCGTCAAAACGGCGACTCAGCTTGAGAATACGTTATCTTTGCTCTGCAGACTGGTCGAAAAAATGTCATTTCACAAAATGGTAGCGTGTTCGACGATTGTAATTTGAGTAACGTGAAACTTTATTTAAATTCAACGTTTTATCCGTACGACGATTTAAATCTGGATATTGGCAAAAAGAGTTACGCCGTCCTGTTTGATACGTACGCCCGGTTTCGTAGAGCGTATTATGGAAATAATTGCTTCGAAACGCTACTCAACGTGCTTTCATTTACCGTGGAAGGACCTTTTGTAGTCATTGATTGTTCGCGACAAAATGAATCCGTCAAGGGTGCCACTGTGGACGTGCGCATAGAATTTGACTGCAAGGAAAATGTACCTGCAAATACTACAACCTATTGTCTCATCATACACGATCGCGTGGTTCAGTACAATCAGTTGACGAACGTTGTGCGTAAAATAACCTAAGTGCAGTCTCCGACACGCTATAAAATATACGATTCATCGAAATCGATCGCAGTCTCGAAAAATCGTTCGCCATGACCGTACCAACGTTTGTGGATCTGCAAGGATTTATCGTTGGAAAGAAATTTATCGTGAAGGAAGTGGCGGTGTTGAGAAAAGGAGCCATTCTCATTACATTTTTACGTGTCCTATGCAGTAGGTATAGTGTAGCGGTTCTAAGCCATGAGGCTAGAGGGGAGCGCGGGGTGCGGGGGATACTCGTAGGCGAGGGGAAGCG